AGCAATATAGTCCCCTGTCAGTAGTGAAGGTTGTGTGTTCTTGGTCCGAAGGGTTCATGAGGATTTGGTTGTATCATGAGTAAGCATTTATAAAGCTCAGGAGTTCACACCCTACCGTAGAGTCTATAAGTCCGTCTATGAGAGCTATCTTTCGGGCATCCTTTGTTTAGGTCGGTGTAATCAACACATATTCTTCACAAGATCTTTTGGAGCAGGAGACTTTCCTTGGTCGGATTTTTCTTAACAAGGACAACATTTGCTACCCACGTTGGATAATTGACTTTGCGGACGAAGCCTATGCCTTTGAGTTTTTCAACTTCTGCCTTCATTGCCTCGTACCGTTCAGCGTCATAAGATCTTCGCTTCTGTCTCACTAGCTTGGTCTTGGGGTCAATACTTAAGCGATGACAGATGATATCGGGAGAGATGCCTGACATGTCCTCGTATGACCAGGCGAAGACCTCAGTGTTCTCTTGCAAAAAAAAGATCAATGCCAACCGAATGGGTGGTGACAAGGTGGTGCCAATCTTCACCATGCGATCCGGATAATCTTTTGAGATAGAGACCTTCTCCAACTCTTCAGCGGGTTGTGCTTGCTGGGTGAAAGAGTCATCTTAAGGATCGTCTGGTTGACTGTTGCCGCCGTGAAGATCCAAGTTAGCTTCGTCTGGGATGGTCTTTATGACTTGGTCATGTATATAAAAGGTTTCCTTGGGCACAGACATGTGTTGTTGCTTGATCGAAGTGTTGTAACATTATTGTGCACTAAGTTGATATTCTCTGATGTAACCATTGCCATAGGGGGTTGGAAATTTCATCAAAAACATATGTGTGGATACCAAGGCCTTGAGATCATTGATGCCTGTGCTTCCCAAGATGACATTATATGCCGTTGGGCAATCAACCACCAGGAAGTTAGTGGTAATGGTAGCTGTGTAAGGGCCTGTACCAATGGTGAAAGGTAAGTGTATGCTCCTCAAAGGTTGCTCGATATCACCGGAGAAGCTTATCAGAGGAGAAATCGAGCGATCGAACAAGTGTTCAGCTACATTAAGTGCCTTGAAAGCTTCAGCAAACATGATATTGACCGAAGCCCCAGTGTCTATCAGGATTCGTCGTACTTCAAAGTTGGCTATGTGAGCTTCCACGATCAGTGGGTCGTTGTGAAGGTATATGATACCTCTTTCTTTCTTAGGGTAGAAAGAGATTAGATCCCAGTTAGGCTTTTGATACTTGCCTCCCTTGATGTCTTCCACGTGAAACACTTGGTGGCCAGACCTTAAAGCTCGTTCATTATTTTTCATGGCCATGTTGGAAGATTTAGATATGGGTATGCCACCACTTATGGAATATATCACATTCACCTGGCGTTGGTTACGGTTACCCCTTGGAGAGTGAAGGAGGAATTGATCAATTTTTCTTTCACGTGCCAAAGCTTCAATATGATCACGAAGGGTGATACACTTCTCGCCGTCATGGTCGTTATGCTCATGGTAGCAATAAAATATGCCCGTGTTCTTCATGGGCTTGTAACCCGACTGCCTCGGCATTAGCTTCGGTATCAGGTATGCTATGCTGGGGTAAATGGCCACGCATGTGGCGTTCAAAGGTGTGTATGCCTCATACCTCGGGGTAGGGGCCTGTCCTGACACGTGCTTGGCCCACTGTGTTGACTGCCTGGGGTCGGGCATTATCGTGGTGATACCCTTGGTTATCGCGGATAGTGTCCCTTACTCCTTTTACTAAAATGAGACTGGTGAGGATGGAAATCTTTCCTTTTTGCCCTGAGATTGATATGTCTGTTGACTTGGCAAAGTATTAAGTAAGGCAGGAGGAGGCACCGCTGCCGTTTGGAAGGTCGAGGTCTTCTCATTTGGTTGGATCTGGCTTCCACTCCCTACTTGCTGATAAGGGGTGGCTGTGGGAGGTTTCCCTTGATATGTCATTGCCTCGGCGGATGCATGGTTATAAGCCTAGACCATCACCTCAGAGTAAGTCTTCCAAGTGTTGGCATTGATCATGTACTTAAAGAAACAAGTCACGTAGGCCTGCCGTGAAGGCCTTTGAGGAGCAGTCTTGTCATCTGCCTCGGCACAACGAGAATACTCATGGCTGAAGCGGCCAGCATACATACGTAATGACTCGTCTGGCTTCTGGCAAATAGTGTACAAGTCATCCGCAGAGTGCAAGCGATCGGTCTAGAAAATGTGTTGAGAAACAAACAGTTTCCTCAATTCCTCAAATGAGTCTATTGTCTCAGGTGGACGACTGCAATACCAGTTTAGAGCTCCATCAGAGAGGGTAGAGGGGAAGAGAAGACATCGCTCTTCGTCGGTGTGTATCCAGTATGCCATGGTGGACTAAAAAAGGTTAAAGTGTTCAATCGGGTCCTCCTTTCCAGTATAGAGTTGCAAGCCAAGCTTCTGCTTTGTCTTTGCTTGGAATGGGGTGTCGAGGATCCTCATTGTAAGAGAGCCAGGCCTAGGTGGTTCCAATCAGGTATCTCAGCTTGTCGTTCGGCTTTCAACTTGTTTACTTCCTTAAGAAGCTGTAGGACAAGAGGGTCCTGAGTGGAGTCATGTACCACTGGAGCTTTCTTTCGTAAATCTCCATCTTCTCTTGGAAGTATGAAGGTTTGATCAAGAGCATGTGATTTTTCCTTAGACTCGCCGTACTGACTTCTAAGGTATGTCTGTCGAAACATCTCTGAGTCCCCTATACCTTCGTGTTTCTCTAGGACTTGTTGCCCCTTCCCCAAATTGGTAGCCGGCCTGGGACATGGGAGGGGACCGAGTCTTTCAGAAACTTTTGGGTCATTGATCTTCGAGCTTACATGGATGGGATTATCTCGACATTGCTTTAGGAAATCTCGACACTCACGAAAGACGGCTTTCGATCATTCCACTCATTCTATAAGGAGGTGTCTTCCTCCACTTCTCCTGCTTCGGGTCGAAGCAGCTGGGTTGAGAGAAGTCTCATGTTGATTAATGTTCTGATGATTAGCTCGCTCCTCATCAACGATACCCATGTCGAAGGAAGGTGACCCTCCGTGTTGAGGGGCACCCAGATGATGGTTGATGTCCACAGGGGTAACAAGCTCGCGTGTTTGAGTACGCCTAGTTTCGTGGAGCGTCTCAAAGAGCTTCTCATACTGCTCCTGAAGGACCTCATTCTTCATTGCTATCTTATTGTTCTGAGCTTCTAGCTCATCGACTTTAGCTTGAAGATCAACCCTCTTTCCTTCCTTCTTTCGTTGCCTCGCACTAAGTGCAAGATGGGTGTCATTCTGCATGCTGTGGCTTCCTTCGCTCCCCATGTTGGAGAGAGATGCCTGGTCAAAAGAGAGTGTACGAATGGTGGAAACCACCCTAACAAAGCTGAAGAGAGTGGGAATAATTGTCGTTCCCACAGACGGCGCTAAATGTTGATGCACAAAATTAGTGAGGACTTTGGTACAACAGAAAATGTTTAGTTTGTGACCTTCGCTAGATTGCTCCAGTCACTAGTGTGGATAAGTATGTAAATGGATAGAGACAGGGAAGCAAACACAAGATATACGTGGTTCACCTAGATTGGCTATGTCCACGGAGTAGAGGAGTTCTCATTAATTGTGAAGGGTTTACACAAATACATAGGTTCAAGCTCTCCTTTAGTGAGTACAAGTGAATGATTTAGTACCAATGACATTAGGAAATATTGTGAGAGAATGATCTCTATTTATAGAAGAGAGTTTCTAGTTTCATTCTGACATTGACACGTGTTGTGTTGTGATTGGCTTATGATGTCAACACATGTCGCGCTGTGATTGGCCTCCTGGTTGGAGGGAAACTCTTCTGGGTCCTTGACGGTATAACGTTGACCGGTGCTCAGTAATTTCGGGATTGGTTAAGTATGGTACAAACAAATGCATATGATTTTTACCCTAAGAAGTCCACAAAATGAGCTTCAATGATGTTGCTATGCAAACCAAGTCTTCTTCACTTAGATGTAAAACTTTGGACTAATGAAATTGAAGACTAAATGTTACAACACGTTTTATACAGTGTCTAGGAAAGTATAGCCAACTAAAGACTTGCGCTTTGATTAAATAAATAAGGTGTGCATGAAGAGAAATGAGTGTGCAAAAATCACTTCCCTTATTCTTCAACCTTGTTTTGAAATAATTTCTACTCATAAGCACTTCTAGTAACATCAATTCTATTGGAAGCACTACGAAATTTAATAAAAATGCAAGTGCTTCTTGAAAAAGAACTTGAACACAAACATTTTAAAATTATTTTGCCAAACATGATTATAATCACAATTTTTTGAGGTTTTGATGAAAACACTTTATTTGTTTGGGAACAAGTTTTCAGTCAAGCACTTTATTTGTTTGGAAAAAACTTAATGGTTGGCGTGGGAGTCTCCTCAGTAGTGCGGGGAAAGAAATCTTAATTAAAACTGTGGCCCATGCTATTCCGATATACACGATGCATACATTTTTGCTTCCAAAAACCTTTTGTCAGGAACTGAATCAAATGGTTGTTCGATTTTGGTGGGGGAAAGAGGTAGGTAAGAGAAGCATTCATTGGGTGAGTTGGCAACGAATGTGTCTGCCAAAAAGTGAGGGTGGTTTAGGTTTCAAGGATTTGTACGCCTTTAATCTTGCTTTGCTTGCTAAGTAGGGGTGGCGTATTATCAAACAACCATAGTCTCTGGTTGCCCGAGTTTTTAAGGCTCAATATTTCAAAGGTTTGGATTTTCTACATGCCCCAGTTAATTCCAATTCCTCATTTTGTTGGAAGGGGATTGCAGCAACTTAAGTTTTGATCCATCGAGGAGCTAGATGGCGCGTAGGTGATGGCTTGAACATAAAAATCAGGGGGGATTCTTGGTTGCCAAGAGAGAACTATGCCAAGGTGTTGAGTCCGGTACCTCTCGGAGTCCACCCTAATCTTACTGTTAGATCTTTGATGATGGAGGTGGATCGTTTGAGATGGAATATGTAGGTGGTTTCTCGAATGTTCTTTCCCGAGGAGGCCAATCTTATTTTAAGTATTCCTTTGAGTTTCTTTCACCTGCCTGATGAGTTGTTTTGGTGTAAAGACCCTAAAGGAGTATTCACGACAAAGAGTGCATATTTTGTAGCTCGGACTTGTAGTGACATATGTGGGGAGGTTCCAGTGGGGTCTGAGATGCCAGCAGAGATTAAATTCCTATGGAAGGCATTATGGCGTGCTAAGGTACCAGAGAAGATCAAAATTTGCATATGGAGGGGTTGTTTAAATGCTCTGCCGTCTAGAGCTAATTTGAAACTGAAAAAGGCTGTACAGGATAATTGTTGTGTGGTCTGTGGGATTGTTCCTGAAACGATCAAGCATGTTATGTTGCGATGCCCCCATGCTAGAGCGAAATGGTTTGATAGTTCGCTGGGTCTAAATCTGATGCAACTAGGAGATGTGGGTAGCTCAAATGGCTTCTTTGATGTCCAGGGAGAGCTTTGATCTAATTCTTATGTTGATGTGGAATATTTGGAAAGCTCGTAATGAGTTATTATGGCAGGGTTCAACTTTACCACCTCAGGACCTCCAAATTCAAGCGCATACTTGGTTGTTGGAGTTTAAGAAATGGAATGTGGTCCAGCCGAAGCCTAAGGTTGTTGAAGTCGATAAATGGAGGAGGCCCGAGGTAGGATGGTTAAAATGCAATTTTGATGGGGCATGGGATGAGCCGAATAACAGAGGTGGAGCTATTTTGATTATCCGAGACACGGATAAGGATTTTGTTGCTACTATGGCGTTGCCACTGGAGGGGATTACGTCGGCTTTAATGGCTGAAGTTGCTGCTGCCCGTGAGGCTGCGTTGTTTCTTCTGAAATGGAGTAGGGCGAAAGTGTTGTTGGAAGGAGATGCATTACTGGTAATAGCTGCTATCCAAAATAACTCGGAGGTTAATTATGGTGCCCTTGGCCATATATTAACTGATACAAGGAGGTTATTACAATGGAAGGCTATGTTTGTGCGATGTGGTGCTAATGCAGTGGCACACAGATTAGCTCATCATGGTCTTTATCTGGTACAACCAGTTTCGTTTGAAGAACCTCCTGATGTAATCTCTGATCTTATTTTGGAGGATAATTTATAATCATATATTCGTTGGTGCAAGACACTCTTTTTCCCTTCATTCGGGCTTTTGTCCGGAAGGTTTTTATTGAGGCCCATTGTTAGCATCATTTTCCTTTGTTTGTACGTTGTCCTTTTATGAAATGAATATCGTACTTGTTTAAAAAAAAAAAACATTGTGCATCTCGTATATATCCCTAATTTTTGCCCAAATTCTTGGGCTAGAAGAAGTTATTTTATTGATAGTGGAATAAATCCCGAATTCGAATCTTCATTCTCTTGATAAAAAATTATTTATTCTATTAAATCTTAGGTTACTCTTGGAATCCCTAACATAAACAAAGTTGATAGGATTGACATTTTTCTGAATCAAATAAAAAAAAAGAGAATATTTTGAACATTGTCATTATGATAATAATTTTTTGAAAACAAACTCGATGAAGTTAAACTCTGCCTATGTAAGTTTATCTTACATTGCCGGTCCCAAGCCCGGATAAAGGAGGAGGGGGAGGGCGTCAGGTAGTCGACAGCCGGCACTCCACAGTTACGTCGAATCCTTATGACAATGAATCCAGAACGAAATCGTGCTAAAGCTAGGACGTCACCCGTAAGTGGCGCGCTGTGTGGCCCGAGCACAGTGATAAGTGAGCAAGGGTCGCTGTATCTCCATCGGCACCCGGATGCAGTGTTAAATGAGCAAGGGGGCCATAGAAACTTCTTTTCGAATGACTCCACTCAAAGTTGTTTGGGAGCATATGCTCCTATCAACTTTACACAGGACATACAAAAGAAGTACTTTGATCCTATTAGACGGGGGATGGTGAAGAAGCTAGGACAGAAGGGTAGAGTTCAAGAGAGTAGAATGCGTTTAGGAACGTGGAATATAGGAACCTTAACGGGAAAGTCTATGGAAGTAGTGGAAGTTATGGTGAGGAGAAGGATAAATATTATGTGCCTACAAGAAACTAAGTGGGTTGGTCTTAAGGCAAAGGATCTAGAAAACTCAGGGTTTAAGCTTTGGTATTCGGGCACAAATAGAACGAGAAATGGTGTTGGCATCATTGTGGACAAGACCTTGACACAAGATGTTGTAGATGTCAAGAGGGTAGGAGATAGAATCATTGCAATCAAGATTGTAATAGGACAAGAACTCATCAATGTGATTAGTGCGTACGCACCTCAAGTAGGGTTGGATACGAGTTCGAAGGAGAAATTTTGGGAAGACCTTGGAGACTTGGTGCAAGGAATTGCCCAGACGGAGAAGTTATTTATAGGAGGAGATTTAAATGGACACGTGGGCAGGGAGACAGGCAACTATGGAGGTTTTCATGGTAGCCATGGTTTTGGGGAGAGAAATGAGGATGGGGAAGCTATCTTGGATTTTGCAATGGCATATGATCTCTTCTTAGCCAACACCTTCTTTAAAAAGAGAGAAGAACATGTGATCACCTATAAGAGTGGGTCGTCAAAAACACAAATAGATTTTCTTCTAATGAGGAAAGGGGATCGTATAACTTGTAAGGATTGCAAAGTTATACCGGGAGAGAGCTTGGCTAATCAACATCGCTTGTTGGTGATGGATGATGTGAGAATTTCTTGACACACAAATTAAACCCTCTTTTTGACAATTGTAGTATAGATGTAAGTAGGGTATCGTTCTAGGCCGGGAATTAGGAGGGATTGCTAATCTATTCTAAATTAATTTAAAAATATTAAATAAGACTCAAGGACACAAAACTAGGCTAAAAACTCTAATAACTTGAAACACACTTATAATGACTCAAAATAATGGAAACACTCAAATTAGACACTAGGAACTGAAATGGACGGAAATTGAATTAAAAGACTAACAACAAAGAAAACTAACTAAATAATATAATTTAATAATGGATGGGTGTTTGGTTTTGATGAAAAGTAAAATAAACTTAATTAAATTACAGAATTGACAAAAACATAAAATTAAGGTAAAATGATAAATGACGGACTAGCTAGAGGGTTCTTCTCCACACATGACACATATGCAACCTAAATTGATTTTCAGTTGTTCTTTCAATAAATTGTAAATTTCAATACTCCAGATTAACCGTGAACAGCACTTTTTTAATCTTCAAGTTTTCCTTAAGTTATTGAATTGGACGGGAAAACGCATACAACAATTCAAAACATTCTTCAAAAGTCCCCTACGTGAAAAGCACAATAGAGATACAATCAAAGATCATTAAACTTTGTGAAAACTATAAGCATTGACGAGGCATTCGTAACTATGAAAAGCATGATACTCTTGCCAAGAATTTACTTAACGTGATTGTGACTAGCAACCTTTACTACTTGTGAAAATAAGTTCATAACGATTAGGTGAAATTCACTTATATTCTAGCATCAAATTCATGCATGTAAATTAAGCGTGCACTCTCAACCAACATACACAAATCAGTTTTTATACGAACGGATAAGTAAATTGAATTCACAACTTATAAATCACAACTGAAGGTAATCAATTCATATTACAAATATATTCATGGCTTTGAATTAACCTCTAGCCAAAATAAAATTTAATTACACATTATTAAAACATTTAACCAAAAGTAAAATATAAGTTGGAACGTTTTAACCGAAAGAGGAGAAGCTTGCTGCTTCTGTTTCTGTCCGTGCTCTTTGAACCCCTGCTGAGGCTCACTGCTCCCGCCTTCTCTCTCTGTCCTCTCGCGCAAGGCAGCTCCTCGCAAGTCTCCCCGCAAGTCTCCGCGTTCTGCCAGTCACGTTGCCAAAGGCAGCTTGTGACCTCCCCTCACCCTGCGTCTCTGCGAGCTGCCCAAAGGCAGCTCTCTTCTCCTGCTCCCAGCCCGCGCTTTCTGCTGTGTCTCCTCACTTTTATTCCTCTTCTAAGTGCCCTTTGCGCCTCCTCCATCTTTATTTTCTTATTCTATTTCCTCTCTCCCACCAGTCTGCCCGTGTCCTCCTCTTATTCTTCTTTTAATTTTTTTATTCCTTCTTTTCTTTTTTTATTCCTCCATCATTCCATTCTTTATTCTTTTTCTTTTGTTTTTGCCGTCCAACACTCTCCTATATTTCCCTTTTGTTATTCTTCTCCATCATTCCATGTCTCCCACTTCTTTGTCATTTTTTTCATTTTATTCTCCCTTTTTCCAGCTGCAAAGCAGCTTCTTCTTTTTATTTTTTATTCTTTCCGTTTTCTCCCTCCTTTCACGCCTACCTTCTTTCCCTCTCCCAATTATCCTGCTGTCCTCATTATTATTTTTCCTTCTTTTTGTTCTCTTTTTGCTGATCTCTCTTAGCTTTCTTTCTTCTCCTAGAAACACAATAAATCAAAAGTATCATAAATACTTAAAACTTCCAACTAAATTAGACAAGAAAAGAAATATAAAAGGATGAAATATATAGTTTAAATATTGGTTTATCATTTATCGTCACAATGGATTAGCAATATTGTAATTTAAATTTGCTTTTGACGAATTTATTACATAAAATTTCACTTGTTCTATTTTTATTTTCTTTGCATAACAAATCCTATAAACACAAAAATAACGTAAATAACTCAAAAATATAAGGAACTAACTAAGAAAAGACGAGTGAATTCGAAGTAAAAATATATATAAATATGATCCGATCAATGGATGTACATATCAAAAGAGTGAGAAAAAAGAACAAGACTTGGAAGTGCCCAAAGACTAGATGGTGGAATCTAAAAGGAGAAAAACAAGTCATTTTCAAAGAGCAAGTAATCACCCAGTGTGTGTGGGATAGAGAGGGGGAAGCTAGCCAAATGTGGGATTCCATGGCTAGCTGTATCCGAAAAGTAGCAAAAGAGGTATTAGGAGAGTTCAAGGGCTTTGTTCCACACCAAAGGAATCTTGGTGGTGGAATGAGGAGGTACAAACAAAGGTGAAGGCTAAGAAGGAATGTTTTAAAGCCTTATACAAGGATATGACCGATGAAAATGGTGAAAGGTATAGAAGAGCGAAGCAAGAGGCGAAGAAAGCTGTGAGAGAAGCTAAGTTAGCGGCTTATGACGATATGTATAAGCGACTAGATACCAAAGAAGGAGAGTTGGATATCTATAAACTAGCTAGAGCAAGGGAAAAGAAGACAAGGGCCCTAAACCAAGTGAGGTGCATCAAGGATGAGGATGGAAATGTTCTTGCTACAGAGAACGCGGTCAAAGACAGATGGAGAGGTTATTTTCATAATCTTTTCAATGAAGGACATGAAAGGAGTACTCCTTTAGGGGAGTTGAGTAACTCAGAAGAGTGTAGAAACTACTCATTTTATCGTCGAATCAGGAAGGAAGAAGTGGTTGTAGCTTTGAAGAAAGATGAAGCATAGAAAAGCAGTGGGCCCAGACGATATACCGATTGAAGTGTGGAAAGCCTTGGGAGAGACAGGTATAGCATGGCTCACTGACCTTTTCAATAGGATTTTGAAAACGAAGAAGATGCCAAACGAGTGGCGAAAGAGCACCTTGGTGCCTATTTACAAGAATAAGGGCGACGTACAAAATTGCATGAACTATAGGGGTATTAAGCTAATGAGTCATACAATGAAGCTCTGGGAGAGAGTCATTGAGCATAGATTGAGGCAAGAGACACGGGTTTCGGACAACCAATTCGGGTTCATGCCAGGGCGCTCAACCATGGAGGCAATCTATCTCTTACGAAGATTGATGGAAAGATATAGAGATGGGAAAAAGGATTTACACATGGTCTTTATAGATTTGGAAAAAGCGTATGATAGGGTCCCAAGAGACATTCTTTGGAGGATTTTAGAGAAGAAAGGAGTACGAGTAGCATATATCCAAGCTATAAAGGATATGTATGAAGGAGCAAAGACTGCCGTAAGAACTCATGAAGGACAAACCGAAAGCTTCCCCATAACTGTAGGATTACATCAAGGCTCATCCTTAAATCCTTACCTTTTTGCATTGGTAATGGATGAGTTAACAGGACATATTCAAGATGATATTCCTTGGTGTATGCTTTTCGCAGACGATATAGTGTTGATAGA